GGTGAATTAAAATGTATTATATTAATTTTACAGAAAACAATGACAATCCTTATGAAAACTACAATAATATTAAATTAAGCATAGTTTTTCATCCCATGATAATTTTTTTTAGGAAATAAGAACATTAAATTTCTGCCAGGCATATTAGTTATTTTGTGCATAATCAGCAATTTACCTGGGGTCGTGCATAGTCATTTTCTGGTACAATACTATACTTAGACAAATTTTTCCTTCCAATGACCTCCCCTAAAAGCAACCCTTCTGAACACTATAAGCACTTCAGAAAGGCTGTCGCTTTTGATTTTCGGAAGTTAGAGCTATGTCGGCACTGCCGTTTCAGGGCGGGGTCATTTTCAGGACTTTCGCTCCGGATTCAGGTTTTGGCACATATGCCATGTTGAGCGCCATGGTCATTTTACCCTAAAACAGTTGAGATTACCTGTGCTAAATGAAACGCATACAAACATCTATACATGCATGTCCTAGACTATAGCTAAAAGGACAATATAATTACACAAAATATAAACCTTTTCGGGGTAAGAATTAGGTACATGTCTCATCTTTGTTGGATATACTCGTAGAGATGAACTAATGCACAGCATTTGACTGATTTTGTTTATAGTTTCGAACATGACTCAAACTTCGAGTGTTGATTCCTTGATCTTAAAAGAAAACTTGCTTGAAATGTGGGTTCCAGTCACAGGTGCTCAGACAGTCCCTGAATTTTGCAGATTGAATTGGGAAAAAATCGCTGCCTATATGTTTAAGAAGGACATCATCCCTTTCATGATGGATAAGATTGATGGATATTTGAAGAATTTTGCAGACGTTATATTTTCAAAACAAATTTTGAGAACTATTTTGACGCTCAGCCACCATTTCAACTCGGTGAAGCAATACTGTCAGGAAGTTTCAGCGAGGGCCTTTTTCTTTATAGCTCCGAACCTCCAGATATGGACTTCATGTGTGTGTTAAAAAATATCACGTTTTCTCAAGAACATCAGGAAGATGGCAACTTGCAGTTAAGAGAAGATACGCCTTTTGTTTACGCATTCGTCACAAACAATGAAACACAACATCTGTGGGCATGTTTTTTTGACGAAGAAGATAAGCAAGCAGGAAAACATCGATTATCTTCGAAAAAATTGAAAGAAAAGCTTCGTGAAAATTACCAAAAAGCAGGGAGAATTTTCCGTAGTTACTGCAATGAAAAGATCGACGGGGTTTCGGAAGGCGCGGCTGTGACAATCCGTAAGCTAAAACCTTATGTATCATTTTTCCACAGTTTTTCAGAAATCGCAAAGGAAATCTTAAGGCAACCAATAAATGAACGGTGTAAAATAAACAAGAAGTTGTTTAAGCAGATGAGAGTTGACTTACTATACAAAATAATTCCCTCGAGTGACATAGTGTTGTCTATTTACTGCGAGGGATGGCCATCGTGTGCACTAGAATGGATTACGCGAGTACGACTTTGGCCTGATGTATCTTTGGTGGAGAAAATCACACATGGAGGATTTCATATTATACCAAAGAGCTCAGCCGATGGAGATTTTCGTCTGTCTTTTTCAGGTGCTGAAACAATGTTGATTAAAACTCTCGCACCACCACAGCACAAGGTAATGAGAGCTTTCAAAGCTGTAATAAAATATTCTCAAAATACCTGGAATCCAAATGAGAAGGAAATTATATCGAGTTATCATTTGAAAACCATCGCGTTTTGGCATTTTGAGAAAACCTCACAAGAATCTTGGACTGAAGACAATTTAGTTCACCATCTTATCACACTACTCGAAGAGTTAGCAGAAGCTTTGAGAATTCAAAGTCTGCCAATGTATTTTATGCCTAAGGTTAACCTCTTCCAAGATGTTGATGATCCTGAAGTCACGATGAACTTACTGGAAAAGATTTCATCACTTTCACACAATTACTCTGCGATGTCTGAAGCTGTAAACAATAAGAATACTTTAAAAGGAATTGTTTTCACTCAATCTGAACGCGACAACCTTGCTAATATGTTTCATAACATACGTGAAGAAAACTTGAAAAAAAAGGAGGAGGGTGGGGACAATTTATTCACCTGGTACGATTTTCTAGTCGCTATTTGTAACCCTAATATTTGCAAATCGCCATTCATTCGTTTACTTTCACAATAGCATATGTTTAGAAATGCATCCCGCCAGTTAATAGGACGATAAGTCATACACACTATCCATTGATAGAAATATATTTAAACAAGAAGCAACTTTTACATTCAAGAAACAAAATTAATAACCAGTAAACAAAACATGCGCTAGACTATAAACGTCACCGTCACTCGCGGGCGCATATCAAAGGCAATACGTCATAATGGCGTAATTTCTCTTTTTCTTATTTTATGACATAAGTTAAATATAAAAGATTACATAACTAATTAAAATGTATGATCAGATATTCTTGGCTATTTGTCCATCACATAATCAGCGAAGCGTTCTGGGGGACGTCGTTGTCTGCTGGACCTACGCAGCGGCACATTTTCACCCGGCCATTAACATATCCATTCCCTCTTGACTCGTCTTCTGTATGGGGCTTATCTTCGAAATTACTATGTTCGTAGTAGGCATTGGCATTAACACTGGGTTCGTTACAATGTGAAGTTTGATTAGGCGGCGTAGAAATCGGTGTTGAAAATACTTGGTGGCGCTGGTGGAGGTGGGGCTCACTTGACAGGGACCGCGGAGACGGGGGGGCTGGGGGGGCTTTAGCCCCCCCACTTTTTTTGACAGCCAAAATTATTAAAATAGAAATCTAAATGAAACTTTCTAAATTAATTAAACCTTTTCTAGGCATTTTTAACTTTCGCATCTAATTAAAATGAATAAAGGCTAAGCACCCCATTATGTGTACCTTACATGCAGTTCCCTTCAACACAGCCACGTGCTCCGAAACGAAATTATTATTTATATTCATATGGTTTTTGCAAAGTTTCCGCAATGGAGTTGAAACTGCCTTTATTTTTACTTTATTTTTACTATTTTTACTTAAGTTTGTAAAAGGTCTAAATTTTGTTACTTTTTATGACGATGGTCTTGGAGATTTTTTGCTAAAGTTCCTCCAAAAATGCAGGAAATAGCGTTTAAGGTAATAGAAAATTGAACATTTTCCTTGGGGGTTTTATTGATGATTTAGCCCCCCCCACTCTCTAATACGCTCCGCGGGCCCTGCTTGAGGCTGCAAGAGCTTTGAATCCGGGTGCTGGATCAGTTTTTATGACTGCTATGGGTCCATGCAATGGTCTCATTGGGACACACAGACGGATTAGGGCATCACGTAACGTGTCATGGCGTTCGTTTTCGAGAACAGTTGTAGCTGTGAGTGAGGTTACACACTCTCGCAATACCAGGATCAGTTGTTTGGAACGTTTGGCGATATCGGCAGCAAATGCTACACCAACAGTACTTGGTGGAGAGCAGGACGACTGTTCTATACGTGCTGTTGGGGCATTTCGTAATGCGGCGCAACGGTAACAACCTTCGTAATGCGGCGTAATGGTGACAACCTTCACTTACACGGTTAACAACTTTGTCCACGTCCAAGGCATACAAATAACGTTTTACAACGACTTTAAGCTGATGGCTGGACGGATGGCTGAGACGAATATGTAGAGCCGTCAGCAAACCTTCTAGTACTTGCCGAGGGACAATAATACATTCACGGCTTGGCACGAGTGGTTCATTTCGTTTAACAACCAGCAAGCCGTCTTTGGTAATGGTAGCAACAAGGAGGTATCTTTTTACATCCGTAACGTTTGTGAGTTTCTTCGATGGGCTTGTCCCTTGTAGTAGGCGGGCGCGAGTGCGTCGTAATTCGGGACATTCAGCTTGTATGGTCCCCCAAGTGGCTCGGCTAGTAAATGGAAGTCGCGCGCTCTACATCGGCTAATATGTCCTGTACCGATGCTCGTCTGATAACAGAGTCTTGGGTCTGTTTCGTAAATGAACAAATTTGACAGGCTTCATCTTCACGCGGTGCGGCGTTGCGACTTGCAAAGTCAGAGGGAAAAATAGCAGAGCCAGATACATGCATGTCTAATAGAAGCCTGGTATCGGCTTACGGTAGACTGAAACGTTGACACCCTTGGGCTTGCGGAGAACTCACCACGACAAAGCTTTTCATAGGCCTGTACAAAGGGCTTGCTGACAGCTAAGATACAGGCCTGATGGTGCGATTGTACCACGTAGGGGCTGATGTGCTTGACAGCAACAGCAATGGACATGGCTTCTACCTGGCATGGAAGCCATCTGACTTGTGAGCCCCGTAACTTCGCACGAAAAAAACCTGCGACACGAAGCTTGCCGTTTCTGGTGAAGTAAAGTGTGGGGCCTATTCCAGGACTGCGAATAGCTCCGTCAGTCACAATCCAAATTTGATCTTCTGGTTTTGGCAAGGTTATAGTGCGAGCTGCAGTCAAAGCAGCCTGTTCCCTGCAGAATACTGTATGATGATCGTCAGTCCACTGAATTTGTTCCTTCAACTGGCGGCCGGCCACGGCGTCGTCAAGTTTAGAGAGCAACGATGAACACCCTGGAATGACGCGAGATAGCACTTTAAAGGCTCCTATAAATGATCTTAATCGATACACAGTCTCTGGCTTTGGCACGAAGCGAGGGTCGCAATGCGATGTGGACTTGCACTTAGTGCACTTGAATTCCACATCCATCCTGATATCGTTGTGGACTTAGGATTGATCACGGTCTTTAGTGCGGAGAGACGGAGATCAGATTTGTGCAAGGCTACCAAGACTCTCTTCCAAATTTGTAAAAGCTCTTCATGAGTATTGCCTCCGCAATATAGGTCATCTTCGATTTTTGCAACGACTCCTTCTTCCAACACCTAGCACTCTACACATCAACTTCTCAAGTGCGGTTTCCGAGCCCGGCATGCCCATAGCAGAACGCACATATACTCTTACATCGCGGAAAGGAGTAGCAACACCACAGTACTTCATAGTCTCATGTGCGAGTGGAATTTCATAAAAGGCACTTGTCAGATCTGTAGCGATTAGTCGAATTAGGTGTTTCCATTGAGCTATGTGGCGAAGGGTAGAATCAACATTTAACATCAATGGAGGCAGTGGTTTACTATAACGACCAACATCTGCGAAGGCAGTTACAAGGCGGGAGCCACCACTCGACCTCTTCGCAAGAAATGACGGATTCAGATACTCCACGGATACATTGACACTTCCGGACGCTCGAAAACACCCAACTTTTCAAGCTCATCAAACTTTGCCTGAAGCTCCTGCAACTGGTCATGGGCATATTGAGGTAGGCGACCCTTTCGCTGAGGTGGTTCCACAGGTCCCATGTTCACCTTAGCTTCAAATGAGCCTGCTGCTCCGTTATAGCCTTTGACCCACGTAAAGTCTGGGCCCTAGTCTTCTTTTCCCACGTAGCCTCTTCGGCCAGAAATGGTGCGAAATTACTGTCAAGTGACAAAGTGTTGATTAAATTCTGCCTCCAGTTTTCAAAGTTAGTTATAATCAGTGGCGTAGCTAGCGGTCATGCTGCATGCTGAGCATGACCAAATTAAAAATATCCCCCAAAATAAAGAATTTCTTTCCGCTAAAATTCAAATTCAAATCTTTTAGCTTTTCGAAACTTTCACAAGTACTTTAGACAAGATTTCGCTATATTATGTCATTTTCGGCAAAGTATTGCTCATTTGCATAGGTTACCTAGCAACAAACATGGCGAGTTCGTGTGAATTTCGTGTGTACAGCATGTTGCATGCATTTCGCGGTCTAGTAATGCCCTCTGAAATCAGCATGACCAAGTAATATATTTTATAGTAGAAATACTGGCAATCTGACTGGATAATGGGAACTGCGCATGCTCAAACGCGCTGTTTGATGGCTTCAGGGAGCGTGACGGCTTCAACAGAGGCAGATATTATAAGTGATATGCTTAAGAAACTTTTCTCTGCTCGTCAATCAGGCGAGCAAAATATAATTGTGACACAACGGCCAATGCCGAATTTACAATCGACCAGTGGAGATAGAAGCCCTCAGGAGAGTCGATACACAAAGAAAGATTGGCTTTGTGGTAGTTTTACTTGTTTAAGCAAGAAGGCAATGTTTTGCTGGCCATGTTATTCACCTATCAATTTTAAGCCCCAGAGGTGGTGGGTTGGGCATGTGCATATGTGGGGTACTGGGGCATTTGATTTTTTGAGGAAATTTCCAATCAAATGCCTCACCGTCGGGCAATAAATATTGGTCAAATACCTCACCATTTTGCAATAAATTGCAATAAATACCATATTAATAAAAGTCATTTGGTTCAAATTGCCCTAAGTTCCATAACTCAGAGGCTCGCCAAGGGGTTATGACCTGTCGACAGGTGACATTCCTTAAAGAGGCGACAGACTATGTACAAAAGAGTGACAAACGACAGCTTCTGACTGGAAAAAAGCGACAAATTGTGATTTGTGTTATGGGTCAAAAGTGACAGCGACATTTATTGCAATAAAACAAGCGACAAAGCAGCTACAAAATGAGTAACAAGCGACCTGGGTTACTCCCTTGATGGGCCTCAACTCAGGCCCAAAAAGCTAATCAAAATCCCCAGGGTGGGGATGCAATTGATTATAAAATACCCCACATATGCCTGACCCCCCTCAGGGGCTGAACATTGATAGGTACATTATTATAGTCCCTTGAAATTATATCAGGCAACATTAGATTTATAGGGGAAATATCTACATGAAAGTGGTGACCTCAAAATAAAATAAAATTTAATATTTCTTTTACCATAATTACCAATACCAGAGTTATACGCCTGTATTGTAAGTTAAAGCTCACTCACACTCAATGAGTGGAGGTTTAATCTGAGCTTACCTTGAATTTCAATGCTGTTTTGGAATAGGTGGAGGGTGAGTAGTCATATAGTAAGGTTCGACACTAACTCCCCAGCTTTGCCAAAACGGCAATGACACTCATGAGAAGCTCAGATCGAACCTCCACTCATTGACTGTGAGTGAGCTCTTAGCTAGAATATAGGCAATAGGGGAAATATCCACTCAAATGTGATGGCTCATGTTATTTTTCACCCTGCTCGGTTTCCTTTGTTCTTGTCGGGGAATATATTCAATATTCCCCTCTAATCAATTTCCGTTTAATAATCCCCTCTAATATTCACCTGCAATTAATAATCCCCTCTAATATTCACCTGCAATGTCTTTCCAGCACAAAAATGATAAAAAACAACATCACGAAGGCAATATGGCATCAAGAATTATTTCTTTTCTGACTCACTAACGCGACCTCGCAGTGTGAAAAATAAGTACGTTATTTTGA